CGTCCTTAGGAAAATAATGTCTTCTCTAGTATTAGGATGGAGAAACATCCAAAAGCCTTTAAAAAATGAATATATTGAGGTTCAAACAAGTGATGAAGAACAAAATTATGATCCTATCAAATCAAAGGAACAAAAAATTTCAAATATCAACGACGTTCCGAAAGAAAGAAGTTTAGCTGTCGAGGTTTGTTCGACTGTAATTGGTATTTTTTATAAATGCAAATGCATCATATCTTTTTTTTATAATTGTAGGCAATATTTCCGATATTAATATCAGCAGCAGGATTGATGCTTGCAGGATGGCTTTTAGACATGGTTCAAGTGTGTGAATTTATTATAATATAGTATTAAAGATATTATAACGATTAACACTCTATAACAATGTCATTGATAGAGTTGGCCAGTTTTTACCAATGTTCCAGAACTGTATATTTTGGTACCGGTGTTATTAAATTTGAAAGGAAATCTTGAAATGAATTTAGCATCACGATTGTCAACTTCGGTATATAAAAAAGAAATTTCATAAGTTGCTTTATCAGAATAGGAAAATATAATTTATATAATTTTAACATAAAAATCAGGCAAATTTAGGCGAGTTAGATATTCCATCGGTTCGGTACACACTAATTTGGGGTAATCTCGCAGTCCTCCAAATACAGTCGTTGGTCGTGGGAGCAATTGCTGGGTTGTTTTCTTCTATAGAAGGAATAATCTTTAATCCAAGTCATATAATAGCATATCATGAAATCATGTCAATAGTAGTTGTTTCAATGGTGTGTGCTGCTTTAAGTAGCATGATATTAGGGACACTTATGTGTATTCTCATAATATTATCAAGAAAATTTTGCATAAATCCAGGTGTGTTACGTGTTGTAGTTTTTAATACAATTTTTCCATTATTAATCAAACATTCAACATTTAGATAACATTGCATGCCCTATGGCATCGTCACTCGGTGATATATTCACATTAATAGTTCTTTCTTCATGTAGTGAATTATTTTTTAGTTATCTTTGTAGGTACTAGTCCAAATTGTGTCTATAAACATTCTAGTTTATTTCTAGTTTATCCATTTATCGTTTTTATAATATACATATCAATTAGATTCATGGGCCAGTACTGTCATGTTCTTAATTTTGGCTGTGAGTGTTCCTCTATGGACGTCTATGGCATGGACTAATAAATTAGTTCGACGTTTGTTGGTTGAAGCATGGACTCCTCTTTTCGTTGCTATGGTGATTTCAAGGTAACTTGTTTCTTTTACGTACGTAATTATTTTTACATATTATCAAAGCATTTGCCAAACTTTATTTATTTTATGTTATGTTTACAGTATTGCTGGATTGGTATTGGAAAAATATATTGAACAATATCATGGGCTCGCATTTCTAACTCCTGTACTTAATGGTATTATTCCCCACATTCCATTACGTTTAAGCATGCAATTTTGTATTACTTATTGCATTATTTATTTGTTCCTACGTTCGCAGGAATAATTGGTAATTTAGGGTCTATATACGCATCAAGAATATCCACTCGTCTTCACTGTGGCACTGAAGAAGATTATTATCAATCTGAATTAACACTATTCTTAATTAATATTCCAATCGAAATACTCATTTTGGTAATTGCTTGGTGGCTCGGTATTGGACATATGAACCTCACTTGGAGCTTTTCAATTACTTACTTCCTAGTTTCTGTTCTCTGTGTATGTGTTTCCCTTTATATTTATGGGTGCAGACATTTGGAGAGTCAGAGGTAGTTACCTCCTCACATCATATAAAATTTGAGTAGTGACGTCCGTACACCACTACCGTACGTTATTTGATGTTCTAGCACTTTTTAACTAGCCAAAGTTGATTACAGAATAAATACAAATTTTATATGATAATT